TGAGAGAGTGTGTGATGTGTGTGTGCCAGAGCGTGTGTATGAGAGAGTGTGTGTCAGAGAGTGTGTGTGTATATGAAAAGAAGAGGAAATTATGCCAAAAAAATCTGAATGAAGCAGTTAAGATTTAAATTAATTTCTTCTGTGTATTAAATGAAGATCTTTTGATGAGGAATGATGGAGTCAAGAGAATTTTAACTCTTGTAAATAACGTTTAGCTGTGGCGGCCATCTTTAATGAGACTGACTAAACAAAAACATGGTGGGCAGTAATAAACAAGAATTAAAGGGTGAATTAAAGCACAAGCCCAACTCTCTCTGTCCCTCCATAACAGCCTGAAAAAATAAGAAATAAACGAATTGCGCACCGCTGTTAAATTCATCAATGTGTGATTCTAACTAGCTTTCAGTTATCAAGCTCCTCTCTTGTGGAACCAACTTCCAGTTTCTGTCTGTGAGGCTGACACTCTGTCTACTTTTAAGATTAGACTGAAGACTTTCCTTTTTGATAAATCCTATAGTTAGACTTAGGTTTCCTGAATTATTCTTCATTTCTGCTGCTATAGACTGACAGATGGAGCACAAACTGAGCACATTTCTTCACTCTGCTGTTGTCTTCTCTCTTCTCTACATGTTTATTGTTATTATTTCTACCAATAACATGTTTTTTTCTTTTTGTCTCTTTCCAGAAATAAGTGCACCTGGACCAGTTCTTCTGTTTGGCTGTCTCCTGTCCCTCAGCCAGCCGGTCGAGGCAGATGGTCTCCTGTCCTGAGCCTGGTTCTGCTGGAGGTTTCTTCCTGATTAGCAGGGAGTTTTCCTCTCCACCGTTTGCTCAGGATGGGAGACTGTGATGAAGTGATTCAACACAATCTGCTGGCTTRTTCTTTAGATTGTTCTTTTTTCATGTACAGTGCCCTGAGACAACAATGAATTAAAACACGGAGAACTGATTTGATTTCCTACCTGAGGATGCAGAGCACGGATGCTGTTGTTGGACATGAGGAGGATCTTGATGGACCACAGTCCCACGAAGGAGCCGCTGCGCACCTCTCTCACCTCGTTCCCGCTCAGATCCAGCAGCCAGCTGCCGTGGGGGACCCCCTGGGGGACCTGCTGCAGCCCACGAGACCTGCAGTCCACCAGGTCGGAGGACTCGTAGCACAGGCAGGAGCCGGGGCACGGCTTCAGACCCGACACGACGCTCAGGAGGGGCAGCAGGGGAGCCACGCCGAGCATCACGCAGCGACCGGAGAGCATCTTCCCGGGATCAGAGTGCGCTCAGTCCTGCTGACAGGCATGGTTAACCTTCATGGAGCCGTGCATCTGAATGTACCGCAAACATTTCTGAGCGCACACATGAAAAAAATCCAGATTAAATCAGGGATTATGGGCTTAAACTGATGATCACATAACCATATCTYCAGAGCAAACCTGGTCGCTTTTGGACCTTTTCCTAAAAGCTGGATTTACATCTGCTTCACTATATGGATACATGAAGCAGACATGCATGATCCCAGTCCCTGTTTCTCTTACAAAAATGTATGGATGTGAAATCAATCTGTTTGTGCCAAACAGGACAGACTTTCACTGCTGGAAGTRTGGTTCTTCTACCCAGAATTGACAGAAAGCTGCCCCAAATGTGCAAGTAAACCTAATCCTGAAAAGGATTTGTCTGTTGGACATTTCAGACTGACCTTTATCCAGAAAAGATTACAGAAATACCAACAAATTCATCGCCAGGCGTTAACGTAAAGTTGTTTCAACCAATAAGAGGAAAAACTTGGAATTTGATGATAAAAGTAGCAAAACACTGAAAAAGTATCAAAAGGTTTGCTAAACTTTAGTTAAAAGCAGCATAAAGGTAGCTATAAAAACTAAACAAAACCAGAGCAAATATGGTGAAATAAATTCATAAGAACCAGTTTTTTGAAGGAGCTGAAGAGATTGATGAATTTCCAAACTAGAAAAGTTACAAAAACCAATGATCATAACGTCCTCCTGAACGATTTGATCTGAAAATAGTTAAAATTCAGTCAACAGCAAAAAAAAAAAAAAAAACCTTTACTGGAGAATAAATTGCTCTGCTTTTAGGCTCCATCTCTGTTAAATAAACTGAATTTAAAAAGCTGCTGCTGCCACCCAGATGAGCAAATCTCATCAGGCGGCATCAGAGAAGCTTAAAAATGTRAAAAATCTAAGTCGGTCCTCTTAAAACTACAGATTACAGAGCTGTCGGCCCCAAAATAGAAACAGTCGCAACGCGTAAAGACCCAATCTGATCAAAAACTAAAGTCGTCAACACAAACGGTCAGATTTTCCTCGTAAACACGCAGCACAGTTCACAAACAGGGCGACACAATTAAGACATTTCTTCACAGGTTTGTCTAATAAGAAATAAATCTGTTGAAATATACAGTATTACAGTCAGAATTTTTGTTACTTTTATTTTAGAAAATGTCCTTTAAAGTGTGGCGTTTCAAGTCACATTTTGTTTAAAATACAGAAAATACAGACAGTAGAACATGAATACAGAAAAAAAAAAAGAAATAATGACAAAACAATGCTAACAAGCCTTTCTGACTGCTCTAGTTTTCTCTTTTTGAAATGGAACTGAAGGCAAAAGGAGGAGGGTGGAAAAAGAAAAGGATTTGAGGGACGGGAGGGTGGGGGGCAGAATGAGACAAGTTAGTTAAGGAAACTATGGTTGCTTTATGGATCATGTTTAAATTATTCTTTATAAAGTCTAATTTAAGATTTAATCTTTCCTCTCTCTTTTTTTGTCTTTTTCATTTTTTTAAGGTATTTTGAGCTTCAGGATCCAGGGCCCTCAGCGCTCCTCCTTGTGGTCTCGGACTGAGGACAAGGAATGCCGACTTCGTCTGGCAGTGGGAACAGAACCACCCGCGTTGCCTTCCCCCGGCCGGTCCGCACTGCCAACTCAAGAAGATAAAGTGGAGTCCTTCTGTGTTTGCTGTGCTTGTGAACGCTGCATGGACTTCTGACTTTCCACGTCTCTAAAATGTTTCTCAACCTGCAGCGAGAAAGTGAGAAGGACGTTAAAAACGTTCGGAGACAAACGGACCGAAGTCACCGTGTCCACTGGACTTTGATTTGTCCTCTAGAGGTTTTACAAAAACTCATGTGCTCCTTGATTTTAGAAGAAAAGTTTCAATCAAAATAAAATAGTGAAGCTGTGTTTGCAATGATTAAGAAAACTTGATTGRAGKGTMGCAAAGTAACTAAGTACAAATACTTGGTTACTGTACTTAAGTAYAAATTTTGGCAATCTGTASTTTACRTCAGTAAATTTTTTTCAGCAAACYTTTTACTTCTACTCTTTACATTTTTACACAATTATCTGTACTTCCTACTCCCTACATTCTTAAGAAGTAGAAAGTCATTATTCTTATTTCATTCTGGCTCGTTATTTTTAAAAATAAATTTTATCCRGAAAAACTGTGCCTTTGAATTTAATTGTGGTTGGATGAGAAGTATAAATATAAACCGTTCTGACACATTAGTTTGTACACAATCCATCACAGCTGCACGCCTTTAAAAAATGTATTTGGAAACTCTAACCTCTCATTTTTACTCAATACTTTTACTTTTAACACTTAAGTACATTTTATGTCAGAAATTTACCTTTGCTAATTAAGTACAAAATAAATCAGATACTTTAAGACTTTTACTCAAAATTCTTAGAGGAGACTAACTTTTACCAAAGTAATTTTATGATAAGATACTTGTACTTTTACTCAAGTATCACTTTGTACTTTATAAAACACTGATTGCCAAATTTGGGCGTAAAACAAAACAAACAAACAAACAAAAAAAAACCTTTAAGACTATTGAACGGTGCTGTGGGCTGATTGGACCAGCATCCATGTACAGTCAGTCAGGTTCAGCAGATCCATTCAGGGCTGAGTCTCACTTTTATTACATTTTAGTGTCTGTTTAAATGTGTTTTAAAGTGAACCTGGAGCTTTTCTGTTAGTGATGACAGCAGCCCTCGTTCTCTCTTAATCTGAAGGTTTCTGAGGTCCTGTTTACATGAAAACTAGCTCTGGTTCTCTCAGARCAGGATCCAAAAACCTTCAGTTTCAGAGAGGACGGCTGCTGTTGTAAACYAAGCAGAACACAGCAGCAAAGCTCCAGCTTCACTCTCAGCCCCGGTCATACATGGTGTCAAACTATCTGTAGACATTTTTCCTCACAGACAGGAAACCTCCAGTGGATCCGAGTACAGATGGGATTATAGTCGGCTAATATGAAACCACAGCAGATGCTGAGATAAAATAATCTTTTTACATCACATCTGCTTTTTCTCCCCCCTCCTTTTCTCCGCTGAACACGATCACATCAAGTCAGATTAAGTCACACGGTGGTCACGAGGAAACAGCCCGTCAGCGCCGAGCTTCTTTTGGTTCTGGTACGAAACCTGCCACGAGTGCAGAATACCCTGAACGAGGAACGTTCGGCGGCCGTCCTGAAAGCAGCTTTAATCAGGGAAACATCTGTCAGTTAAGCCGCGGCAGAGGTTTCTGCTGTCTGCAARGAAAACAGGACGACCAAATCCCACGGTTCTGTTTGGACAGAAGGACTCTGTGGAATCTGAACGAAACGTCTCGTCTCTTTTTGCCTCACGTTAAACCCAGCTAATGAARGCTAAAGTGGACGAACAAAAGCTACAACCCAACACAAAACACTAGTTAAACACAAAGTGTAGCAACAAGACAAACTTACTATTTTGCGTACGTGACTTAAAGCGCTTCCCTCTTTGCCTCTGCAGTTCTCAACCTGGTAAGGCGGTGAGATTACGACATCGTCCATCACAATAATGTTCTTCTCCTGCCATTTACAGTCTTTGATGCTGCGAAGAAAAGTCAACATTACCTTATCTGCACTTGGAGAAAACATTATTACACACACACACACACCAGTGGTTTGTACCAGTACAGCAGGGGTGTCCAAATATTTTGTCAAATGGGCCAAAATCATCAAGTCAGAAGGACTTGAGGGCCAAAAATATTTTTTCTTTACTTGCTCAACAATAAACTAAGCATTGATTACCTTAATTTAAAAAATAAAGTAGTCAGATTTATTGCTGGAAATGGATGCATAAATTAATCTAAGTGTTTCTGCAGGTTTCCCTTATTGAAAGAAACTTTGCAATTTTCTAGATTTCAATTGGGGGGAAAATAACTTAATTTAGTCAATTCTAATCAATAAAATCAGGATTTAAGTCACTCTTGTTGAAAATGCTTGCTGTATTAAGATGAATTTAATAAATTAATTTAAAGCAGACTGGAGTGCAGCAAAATCAGCTTTTGAGTAGAAGTCACTGGAGAGATGTGGAAAAAGCTGAGTCTGGTTATTTAAAGACAAATGATTGGTGTTGTTGCTAATTTTTTTTTATTATAAGGTGTTATTTTGTCCGTGATAAATTTGCCCTAATAATAAATAGAAAGTCTCCATCTACATCAAACACCTGTGCTGGGAGGACAAATTTGTAAACAAATTAGTATAATTCTTAAACTGAAGTCAGGGGCCACAGATGGCCCCCGGGCCACACTTTGGACACCCGGGCCACACTTTGGACACCCCTGCAGTAGAGCTTCCTGTAGTAGAAACATGTTGCAGTGAAGCTGTTTGTTTTTTTTAAACCGTTTTCTTTGCTGAACCCTAAACAATGTTAGTAAATATTAGCTCCAACTGCCAAGTTGAGGAATTAAAATTGATGAGTGGTGTTCTCACACAAAACCGTTGTGTTCAACACCAACCAACAGTTCTTTAAACATGTGCTTGTTTTTGTAAATAATCCTTTATCCATTTTTTAACGAGCCTGACCCCAACACAAGCTCAGACCGGTTATTTTTCTGAAATAAACTCAAGTTGGAATTACTGAAAACAGACCCACAAGTTGTTTTTATTTGTGGTCATTAAACCTCGGCGGTGGCCTCGTGGCCGTGTGGAATCCTTACGTTTTGTGAATAGTCTGGAATAGCTGCTGGCCCTCCACAGAAACCCCAGCACTGATTGCATAGGCTTGGGACAGCTTGTCTTCCTTTTCTGTCCGTGCTCGATTGGCAAGCTGTGAAGATTTAAACAAAACAAAGAGTTAATTTTCCAAATATGAACTGGTTCCAAATTTGAGCAAAGTCTGGATTTGAATAAGATAATTGCAGATCATGTTATTACAGAAGCTGTGCAACCTTTAACAAAGAGTCTACTTGGCAGATTTGACTTTCTCTTTAGCCCAAGTTCAGCTAAAGGAGTTGATGTGGGTGAATTACTGCATTCTGCTGATCTTTATAAAGACAGGAAGTAAAACCGCCAACGCAGATTTAAACTTCACTTCATCTGAACCACAGAACAGGAACTTAAAAAATTCACCTGAGTAATGTGATGTAACAAACAAATAAAATGACTTCATGCTTTTTCCCCTCCTTATGGAGAACTTTATAATGACAATAATTTACTGCAGTTTCTGAAGAGGTGTCAAGTTTGGCAAGAATTCACTTTTCACTGAGATTATTCGGAACTCTCAGTTCATCWGACATGAATATAAATCCATCCACTCACGACTTACCTTGCTAACATTCAGAGATGCTAGTGGAGGAGGAGTCTCGGTACGGTCATTTATTATTTCCACCTCAGAAACATAGGCTAAGTTGATCAGGATGACGTCGTTGAGGTTTGACTTGCCACTGGAGGAAGCACATTCTTTGAGGGGAAACGAGTCAAGGCTGACAACTTTAAAACAAGGACTGAAAAAATAAATAAACAAAAAAGGGAACCTAATTACTGTCGTTATCTGACCCGTAAAGAACTCCCAACACCCTCTGAGCAGAGGAGGTTTGTGATGGAGCGACCACCGCCGACAGTGAAAGCTTGTGCCAGTTACAGCATGTGAGCGAGGGCAGTGCTGCCACCTACAGCAGCACTGAAAGAATCAGCAAAGATTGTAGAAATAAACACAAACAGCTCCTCAGCCAAACCTGTTCGTCAAATCTACTCATTTCAGATCCTGTTCATGAAGTAATCKTGAATTTAAACTTAAGGTTTTGACCTGAAAGGACAGTTTAACCCAATATATTTACAGATTAATGGCAGAAAATCAAAGAGTAAATAGTGGAAGTTATCACGCATAAATCACATTTCTTTAAAAGAAAAGTGAGAGTCTCTTTGTGTTTCAGTTCAGCTGACTGTGGCAGACATTTTGAATCAGGTTGACTCAGAAGTTAATCAGTCATAGATGAACYTACGATGATTATTTCCGCACGTTTTAACCTGAAACAGTGGTTCTTGACAGATTTTGGTAAACATTTCTTACACCTTTGCTTTTTGGAATAACAGGTTTCTTAGTTTCCCTTCGTGTGTGACATCACAAGAGCGCTGACCTGTTACAAAAAAAAAAAAAAGCAACACGAGTTTCAGTAACTTAACAAGTCACTAATCTGCTGGGAGATTTCCATCAAACCACTGCAGAATAAATACGAGTGGTGCCAGATATTAAACTCTAATATTTAAATGTATTCACAAAATTTAAAACGTGTTTAAAACAGAAACATTGACACTAAAATGTTTAAATAGAAAAAGTCAAAGCAGAACTGGTGCAAATAACAGCTGATTAAAAAGTTTTTTTTTATAGGGACAAAATCCTAAAGGCCACATTTTTCTAACCACAAATGAGCTATTTATTTAAAAAATATAGAAATCATTATGTTTTAAAGCAGCTATTATAGTTAAAATAAATATATAAATAAATAAATCTGCAACATGTCACGCTGTCAACCTTCACCTCTCAAATTCATTCATTCATTCATTGGAGTCACGTGCAACAGTTTAGTCAGGTTGTTACATCACAAGCTCAACTCATTTACGTCCCTCACATGTTAGTAATGAAACATGAATAATTAATAAATGTCGTAAATAAACCCTCTTCTTAGAAATATGGGCATGGTTGACAGAGAGCTAAGCTAGCTGTGACCGACCCAACAGAACCACGGACCGGTTCGGTGTGGGTGAGCTGTGCCACCCAGAAGCCGTCAGACACGACAATGTCCGGAGATGAAGCCAATGAACTTCGGCATTTTTACAGCTGTTCACGGAGTCGTTAAAAACTGTTATGGGAGTTAAAAACCGCTTGGCCGAAAATTAGCATATTAGCCTAGCTAGCCAGTTTCCCCCCAGCTAGCATGAGGGGAGGCGGCGGGGGTACAGTCAGTGAAAATTAAAACTTCACTCTTTACAAACAAGCTTCGGCACCCCGAAATCAGCGCGTCAAGTCGTGCCGTGAAACAAATGTGAGGACACAAGCCCAAGCTGGCTGCGCTGAAATGTCAGTGAAATTAGCCTGCTAACTGCTCAGAGCACACACAGCCATGATGCCAGATAGTGATCCATGTTGAGGGCTGCCAATACAATGAGTGGATTCAAAACACATGCACGTCCTTAGGAGACGCATTCAAATGCACAGCTAACACCAACACTCCTTTTGACATAAGAGACGCACGGACAACCATTTCGAAATGCGAAATAACTAGAATCGGATAAAGATGTGTAGGTCAGCTCTCACCAATTACGCCTGCGCGGATCACTATTTGACATATTTTCGGTTACCCTACAGGCCCGTGAAGCCAGGCAGGCCGGCCAGCGGACGGTCCGCGGCGCGAGACACACAAAGGATACTCAGGGTCAACATCTTGGACTGGTAGTCGAACGCGACCACTTCTCCTTGGAGCCTTTGGCCCAAGCAGGTGAGGCAAGAGACATGGCTCCCGACGCTGAAATACTCCCCCGGTCCAGGAGCCGCCATCTTCTCCGCCAGGAGGATACCGGAGCGCCTGCCCCTGCCTTACGTAAGGCGACGCGATGACGCAGCCAGACAAATCTGGGCGTGGCGCAGAACGTCGTGTTAAGGTCATTGACAAATCTTTCACATTTACTCCGCATGTAAATCCTTCATGCTAATGTCCCCCCCGCAGTTTTAGCAAATAAATAAAATAGTTATCTGAAGCATCACGCAGAATTGATCATTTAAAGTTTATTAAAGTTATCACTCTTCTGAAAACACTATCAACATTTTAAGCCAACTTTTTTTATAAACAGGCAAATTCCATACACATGCATGAAAGCTAATTTTGCAACTTTAAAAAAAGAACACTTAACACTTGAGCTTGTATGAAATAACATTTAAATTTAAAACTGTGAGGATAAAGAACAAGTGCGCAAAATGTGTACCATTCTTGTTGTAAGGTTTTATTTATTTTATTTTGTAAGGACTTGAATAAGAATCCTAATCAAACGCCAAAGACCATGACCTCCTTGTCAAACGCACCAAACAGCGCCACCCGCTGGACATTATTATGTACTACAAGCTTGTCCACATCACATTTTMATATTCACCTGAGGAGGACTCTTTTACTGCTCAGAACTCGACATATTTAGAAAAACAAGTCTAAATGGAGTCGGTGTACACCCAGGGCATTTGGCTGGCTGAAACTCTCCAGCAGCGGACAAAGAGTCTGGAAAATGTTTGGCTCTTCAGCACTCACATCGGAGATCCTAAAGCTGCGTTCCTGCTCGTCTTTCCTTTCACCTATTTTTTCAGCAAACGAGCTGGTGTCGCGGTGCTTTGGGTCTCAGCTATATCAGAGTGGTTAAACCTGGTGCTTAAATGGTAAGATGAAGGGAAAACAGCTTTAATTGACCGGCGTTTCCGTAAAATAGCATGTTAGCGTGTAGCTAAGTTAAAAATTTCGTGCGAAAAAATTAGTCTTAATTATATATTTGTATTGTTATGTGTGTTCTACATTCCCCCCACGAATAATTTGCAAAAATCCATTTGAAATTATTCAATCTTTTGCTCTGACGTTGCAGCTTCTGGGATGCCGCTGTAGTCCTGCACTTAATGTTGTCCGTGTGGAAACTGGGACAAGTGGAACTAAAAATACATAAATCTACAACTCAGTCATAAGTTATATGTGAACGAGTGGAACGCAGAAAAAATTAATAAATGAATAATTAACACGGAGAAGAATGAAATATTCGCATTGAGTACTTTGTTCTGTACAGAGTTGAATGTGCTTCACAAAAGTTTGATTTACTTGGACTTAGCGTGCGTTGTTTAAGTGTTCCCTTTATTTTTTTTGAGCAGTGTATATATACAGTATATATTATTTA